CACTTGAGCTGGTTTTCTCCATTCTTACCTACCCTACCTTTAAAGACAAACTAGAACACGCATTTCATTCTGTTTAAACTCTGGATAATGTGCTGTGTGTTTACAGTGTGCTGCCGTCAGCTTTACGGTTTCTGTTTATGGAAATGAAACACACAGCCAGCACTGAGGTGTGTGTTTCCCTCAAGAATCCACTTGTTTGTTTTTTCCTCTATCTCGCTGATATCCTTAAAGCCAAGCTCGTTGGATCTCTATTCCAGATGATTTATTCCTTTTTCAGCCAAGCAAAATATTGTTTTACAGAAAGAGAATCCATTCCTCCTCTCAGTGAGACCTGATGGATGGTGGTGTTGCAGGGACTCAGTGCCATGCTTTCTGCAGGCTGCTGCCCCTCCGCTGGAGCTCTATTTTTTATTTTCTGCCTTTTCCATCCACAACCAGAGTCTTCCACTGCATATTAGAACAGCCTCCTGTAGCTGCTTCAGCCAGACCTTCCATCAAAGACCCTCTGATGCAGCAGATAACTCCTGGCAATTTGTATGCATTTTCTCCTAAACAACCTTCATCTGTCACTCAATCACTCGCAATTTGAATAAGTCACATGTGAAAAATATTCTCATTCTGATTGGCTGTTAAGTGGTACCCACTGACTGTTACGGAGTCATCATTTTTGAGAAAAATCTCTGGAATCCATAGATCTGATTGATTAGTGGAGCAAATGATCAAAATACTACGGAGGGAAGATATTTTCGTTTGGAGTACTGGTTTGGGGGAAGTGTGTGTGTGTGTGTGTGTGTGTGTGTGTGTGTGTGTGTGTGTGTGTGTGTGTGTGTGTGTGTGTGTGTGTGTGTGTGTGTGTGTGTGTGTGTGTGTGTGTCAGAGGTGGGAGTAAGTCCTACATGTGCAAGTATCAAGCAAGTCCCAAGTCACTGTGGTGAGACATACACAGTTAATCATTTGAAATCTAATTTAGACCGATGACAATCATATTAGATTAATATTAACCCTAGAACTACAGACAATATAGGACTCAATCAACAAGTCTGTTCAAAAAGGCAGAATTCCAGGTAAGAAAATCATCAAACTGTTCTTCTACGGACGAAAAGTTTATTATTCCGCCGACTTATTTTGCCGTGCTTATTCTCCCGCATTGAACATCGCAGAAACTCCGTTCAAACATCAAAACGTTCAGCTCGGTCGGGAATCGATGGCTATTACTTTTCTCATTCATAACTTTCATAATTCCAGAGATACATCCCATAATTCATCACATTTTTAACATTTGAACTTTAACATTGCGCAGCTCGTTAAGGCA